AATTCGCCTTTGTGCACTGCACTAGTCTCAAAGAAGTCCTTCTTCCGATAACCCTCCACACAATCCGAGTCAAAGCTTTCATGAACTGTGCAGCTCTCGTGGAGCTTGCCATTCCGCCCTCGCTGAGGTACATCGGAAGTAGAGCCTTCCTAGATTGCACTGTCTTTAGTAGGCTTGTCAAGATGCCAGGAAGGCACAAATGGCGAGGAGTCTACGCAGAAGAAAATGCTTTCGCCATTTGTCCTGCTATGCGATGGCCACCTTGGCTGCACATGATCCCGGACATGGGGTACACCCCTGGTCTTGGATAAAAACAATACTTTTTTCTTGGTTGCAGCGAGCGCTACATCGTAGATACTCGTCAAAAGTCTGGGCACGCGCCTTAGCGTGGGTCCAAGGCAGGTCAACGATCATGACAGTGCAAATTCCAGAAGGGAGCGGAGAAACATCGCAATTGTACCCTTGTATAAGAAGTCTTACTCAAGAGTATCATGGTGAGGCCAGGGACAAGCAAACGACAATAAACTGCACGCTACCAAAGACCAGTGTTCCTAAACAAACTGGATACCCCGTCTAGTCCAGGCAATGTTAAGGAATGTCGACAGATTCCAATTGTCACAGAGAAGACAAAAGGGCTAGACCGAATAGAGCCTGTGAACCCGTGAATGGAATGGGGGACAAGCTGACTGACAGCAGAGCGCGGCAAGCAAGATGCGCAAGCACTGACTAACATTTTCGCCATTCGAACTACTGTGAGCCTATCGGAGCGAGAGCCTTAGCTCTTCGTTCCGCACAGGCGGGTGGTAGAGGGTGGCAATGTCGGATGCCCAGGGGGAACCTTAGTTCCCTTTGTTGATGTCCGACATTTCCAATTTTGTACAAAGAAGTACAGATACTAAGCTAGGATTGTCCAAAGTTTCACCTGTTTCACCTTTTTCACACGGGCCTTGCATGCAGCCGATTCACTTTTGCTACGGTGCTGTGCTTCGTCAACCTGGAAGACACTCCACTCTCGTTGCTGTTTGGTACCGGTGAGTACCAAACAGTTTTGAACTGACCTCCCTTCGGGGGGGGGTCTCTTCGCACCTCCACCTGCTAGCCTTCGTCGATTATGGCCGCCACCCATTGATTTTTGATTGGTAGCATGCCACTTGACTTGTAAGTGCAATCGGTTGAACCGGTTGTGCCACAAGAAAGGTCTTTTCCACGGCATGCTGCACAGCTACGCCACCCCACTTGTAGGGATGCAATCGACGTTAAAGCCGTGCGATACCTCTTTGTTGTGTGGAGAACTGCATTGTGACCATGATTTTGCCGCACTGGGGTGTGGCCGTTGGTCACTCACAATGATGAAGTGAAGTCCTTTTGAAGCCTTTTTGCGACTTTGCTTGAGCACAAACCTGCGCCGATATGCTTTTCGTTCGTTAATTCAGGCCCTTTTCTAGACACTCTCTCTCGTCTCACATGTTTCACCTTGCGCAGAGGAAAGACTACATGATGGTGGAGACTCGGCCTGTGGGCCCTGGGTTGTGTTGTTTTGTTTGTTTGGTGTGGTGTTGGGTGTCCTTGTTCTTTTCTCCACCATCAGACTGTTCTTCCTCCCTTCAACGATGACCTGGGCACCATGCCCACACGGCGTCCGTACTCGTGGAAAAAAAATCGCGCAAGACTTTCTCCAAAAAAGCGGAAACACCCATCGGAGCACACATCACGTGGCCCTGCCAAGCAGTTTCGCTGTTCCAGCCCCTCCAAACAACACCCGTTCACACGCCAATCCCAATTCGAGAGCGACATTCACCACTACCACAACTCACAACCTCACGAACGTGTAGTGTGGTGCAAATTTTGTTGAAGCTCACATGAGATGATATTGTCACTTTTCGTGGCAGCAGCACTTTGTGTGCGTTTTGAGGTGGAAGTGCGAATTTTGTGGCAGGCACAGGGAATCGAGGTGTCATCTGTCACATTCGTGGCACGCGCAGGACTTTGTGCGTTAGACGTGTGGTCCCTGACAGATTCGTGGCATGCGGAAATTGGAATGATTTCGGCCCGTTCTGAGCACACTTCCATCCACCAAAATCGCCATTTCAGCTGGCAAACTGCGGATCTCACAAAACGTTGCACACGAATCTCACACCTCACGTTTTCATCCGAAACCCTTTCCAAAAGCTTCCCCCAATGGCAGCGGCTCAGCGCTCTACTGCGAATGTGAAAGGATTGCACCACGTGGTGCACCATGCGGTGTGCCATTCCCAGTTGTCTATGTGTGTTTATAGCCATATGCATGTCGATAGATTTGCACATGCCGAGTATCATCCACGGATGATGCCATTTGAAGGACTTTTGAATGTTGCAGATCTGGACATCGCCTCCGGGCGACAATTATGTGTTTGATGTGTGGAATCGTCTCAGGACGATAGTGTTTGAAGAACCTCTGATGCCTTTTGGAGCATCTACGAGTTGGAGAATTTGGTGAATGTTCGATGGATGCCCACGACATCCATCTTGTGGATACTGTGTAGATGCCATGCACACTCATATAGCATATCCTGGGAGGTTATATGTTGGTTTCTCTTGTTTGTCCCCTTTTTGGGTTTCCTCCCAGATGATGACAACAACCACACGAATGGAGCACCCGTCAGGTGCGTCCGAGGATCTCTCACGAGATCGTCATGCTGAGGTGTGTGGTGTCTGATGGGAGGAAACACAAACTTTGTTTCCTCGTTTGCTTTTGGGGTTTATAACCTCCTGGTGGATGCTAGAGTGGTGAAAGAGAGAAGATCTCAGTGATCTTTATGGATTAGAAGGGTTGGACGTCACTAGGGTGACTTTTGGGTCCAATGGAATCCACACTAGGTTCACTCGCCTTGCGGGAATCGTTCGAACGTCGTTTTCGAATGAACCACACTTGTTTTCGGCTCACCTTTAAGAGGATGGAGCACTGGAGTTTAAAGAAGATAGACATGCACAAAATGTACACACTGTAAAGAACCTTGCGTTTGTTGTGTGTCGCGCAAAAGGTCGCTTGAGGCTTGCGGTGCTGTTGGGTTCGGGCCTTGTGAGGTCGTTTGGGGTTCTGGTTTTTCGCATGGTAGCGGAGCTCCTGCGGGAGCATCTGTCTGTTGCCGTCTTGAGGTTGCAGTCAGGTGCGTCACTGTCCAGGGATGAATACCCCTCAGCGGAGTACTGCAGGTAGTCAAAGGGAGACTGCTAGTCCTGGTCAGGTTGAGTCAGGGATGGCTGGTATGCCTTCTGTTCCGTCGGGTGCAGGATGCCAAGGGCAAGGTGGTTGCTTGTCAGGGTGTTCGGGCGCAGGACAGGGAATGGGAGGTATGCAGACAGATCCTTGGATGACATATAGGATGCAGCAGCAACAGCAGCAAGGTTTTCAGGGACAGCAAGGTTGCTTTCAAGGACACATTGGTCAGGTGGGGCATTGGGTAGCAGGAGGTGCTCAGGCTGTACCTGTGCCAGTATCCACAATACCGTCTAGTGCGCAATCGTCTGTGTAGCAAGGAAATGGAAACTTAGGTCCATTTGCACAGATGCATCAACAACAAGCTCCTATGGCTCCGAGCCAACATGGTACGGTTGATCCTGTGATGCACACACGCACGTTGTTGCAGAGCATGAACGCATTACAGTTGCAGTCTGTTTTTCAAAGTGTTGGAAATTTGCTTCAAAATAGAGGGCATTTTGTGCCTGATCGTTTGGGGGAAACACCGGTTGAGAATGGCGGTGCGTTTGTACCAGATGATAGGCGAAACACTTTGCCTCTTCCGAGTGGCATGCGTCAGCAAGTGGCTCATTCGTCGTCGGACGATCGAGACGTTTTCAGCAAGAGTGAGAAGTGGCTTGGTAGTCCACCTACCCCTAATGTGGAACGGTGGCATTCTAGGGAAGAAGAGGTGATTGGTTGGACTGGGTATTTGACCTCTTTGGTGAATTGGTGTTCTTTGGGTTCCATTCAGTTTGGAAGAGAGATAGAACAGGCGTCGAGGTGGCCTAGTCCGATAGTGTGGAGGACGCTATCTAAGGACCAACAGACTCGTGCGATTCGTTTGTGTTCGATTTTGAAGCTGGCATTTTCGAACCATGCTAGGATTTCGATGATGATTAGCGGTTTCACGGAAGGGTTGGACATCATTCCGGGTACGTCAGCGGGGGACGTTTTTGGAAACGCTACCACCTATTTGGGGAATGGGTTTGAACTAGTGAGACAGTTGACCAAGGAATATTCCCTTAGAAGTCGGGGTGAGTGTTTGTCGTTGAGGACGCAGTTGTTGTCGAGAACGTTCGCTTCGACAGCTTCGGACGGTGCCGTGAGTGACATCGTGAGACAGATAGATGTAGCTTGTGCTAAGTACATGCGGTTGATGTCCACGGTTTCAGGAACCGAGGACTTGTCGGGATTGCGCGTTGAGGACGCGGACACGTTGGGTCTGCTCATTCGAAGTTTGCCATCGAATGTTAGGGATTACGCTTTGATGCACTCAAGTGGAACGACGTACGCTTGTTTTCGCGAGTCCGCTCGCCGGTTCGAGAATCAGCACAGACTGTTCAGAGAGTTGAACCTGAAGAAGCCCATCTTTGGAGTTGTCGATGAGTCTCGGGACGGTCAGGACTTTGAACCAGAGGACGAGAGTTGTGAACTGAATGCTTTGACCACACCTGGAAAGGGGTTGAAGTGCACGAGATGTGGGAAGAAAGGGCATGAAGTGTCGGCATGCACGACGGATTTAGCAAAGACCAAGGGCTATAAGTGTGGTTTGTTTGGCCATGTTAGCATGAACTGCAGGTCCGGTGCCAGTGGAAAGACCGGCGAGAAGCCTTCGAGTTCGTCGTCGACTTCGAATCCGGGTAAGGGTCATGGTGGTTCACCTGTTGGGAAATCGACTTCGTATCGGTCGGATGGCAATAAGGGTTCTGGGTCTGCCCCCAAGGGTTTTTCAAAGACTAAGGGTGGAAAAGGCTCCTCAAAAGGGGGTAAGAAGGGTAAGATGTTTGCAGTTTGTGATGAGGACGGGACCTGGTGGACTTGGGCGGAGTCGGAAGAAACTGAGAACGTTGCAGTCGAAGACGATGCGTGTCGCGAGACTGTGGAGGACATCGATGAGAAGGTGCTTGTCTTGAGTGGCTTGTTGCCTTGTGTTGACGGTTGGAGTGATTCGGATGCAGTGCATGGCACTGCAGAGGATGAACTTGAGCATGAGCATGGTTTGGTGTTGCTTGCGGTCCCCTGTGATGAAGCATGTTGCAGTGCTGAGCACATTGGTCTTGCTTGTGAGCATGGTTGTATGAGTTGTGTGAACCTCCCCAGTGAGGATGAGATCCCAAGAAGGATGTCTGAGGTCAGCTCTCTGGAGTCGCTGTCAGGGTCACTGTGCAAGTTCTCTGGCGACAGTCACCTTTTGGCTAGTCGCGGACTAGAGGAGCTGGTCGATGATGATGATGATAGATTTGAGATGAGCCCAATACGCGTTGAAGAGAAGGGAGATCTGAGCTGGGAGATTGAACGCCTTTACGATGCTGCTTGGGGTGATTCCCATCAGTGTCACGATCTTGTCACAGTGCTTGATCATGATGACTCATGCATGCAATCTGAGGGGACCAGTCGCGTGTCGATGTTGTTGTCGCAAGTGTTTGGTTCAGGGGTCAATGAGGACTTTTGGCTGTTGGACTCGGGCGCGAGCGTCAACGTGATCACTCGGCAGGCAGTGTCTAAGTTTCGCCATACCCCCATCAAACCTTTGAAGAACCCCATGCAAGCTGCCAATGGCAGTGAAGTTATTATGGAGGGTTTTTGTAGGGTTTTGTTGGAAATTCAAGTTTTGACCCCAAAGGGAGAGACGCGTTCGGGGGTGATTCCCCTTGATGTTCTTGTTGGACAAACCGCGTTTTGCATAGTTTCAACATGCAAATTGGGACGTCTTGGTTGGACCACGAGTGTTGGGAAGAGTGTTGAAATGAAACATGTTGCCACCGGCGTGATCGCAAAAGACGTGTCAGTTTGGCATGACACTCCATGGTTATTGGTTAAACCATACCTTGGGGATGAAGTCAAGTTGGAAGAACCGGACTTTGTTTCATCTTTAGGAGATTCGTCTTCTTTGGGGGAATTTTGTTCAGGGTTGACACCAGAGCAAATGGTTACTCACAGGCTTCAAGGTCACGTGCCTTATGAACCTTCGTGTTTGATTTGTCAGAGTTGCAAAGGACTTCATAAGCACTCACGTAAACGGACAGAGACTGGGTTGACGTCGGAGGTGTTTGCGGATTTTGCATTCTTGAACAGCAGCATGGAATGGACCGTGCATGATCCCAGTGAGGATCCTCCTCAGTCGTTGAAGTTCCTTGTGTTGAAGGAAGCCTATACAGGCTCCATCGGAGCTTGCTTGTGTGGCCATGGACTTGACGTTGTCGGGCAGTTGACAAGTTGGTTGACAGAGTTTGGATTGAAGTCCAAGCCGGGGACGATTGCGATTCAGCTGGTCACTGACGCTGAGGCGGCGGTGAGTTCGTTGATTGCAGGTGTTAGCAAGGACTTCATCTTCTCTGTAAAGAGAGCTGGACCGCAGAGCCACGAGTCCAATGGTGCAGCAGAACGTGCGGTCAGGGTCATCAAGGAGTCGTTCAAGTGCTTGTTGATGGAGTTCGAACAGCATTTTGGGTTGGCGCTTGTGTTTGATCCTACCACCATTCAGCATGCATTGAACTATGTGTCAATGGCTCACAACAACTTTGCCGTTGTTCATGGGTCCAAGAGGGTTCCTAGGGAGATTTCCACGGATAGCAGGGTTCATGTTGACACCTTTGCGTTGTTTGGTTCTTTGGTTCTTGGTGAGGTTCCGGACTCGTTGAGACAACAGAACCCCCAGTTGCCCCGGTTTATCCCTGGTGCCTTTTTGCATCCACAGTTTCAGTCCATGGGAACTGTGATCATCGCGAAGGTGAGAATGGGACAAGAGTTGACCATGAGGAAGTTTGTCGCTCGTTCGATCAAACTGTGTGTTCCGATTCGGGTGTGTAACGACTACGGGTTGTTTTCGACTTTGGTTGACGAAAGGACTGGTCGGCCGGCTGTTCCATCTCTTCCTTCCGAGGATCCTGTGAATCCCCTACCTGAGGGTAAGAGCTTAGAAGTTCCTGCTTCTGGTCCGCCTGTGCGGTGGATTGAAGAGAATGGTGTCAGTAAGAACTGCAGTGCGTGTCGGTCGATCGAGCTTTACGGAAGTCGTCGAGGGAAGAACCACTCAAAGGGGTGTTGCGATCGGTATCGTCGGTGGGTTCATGAACAGGTGAAAGAAGGGCCCCAGGGTTCCAAGAGTTCTCAAATGGTCCATCCCCCTTTTGAAGGAGAAGTTTTGGAAGAACGCACCCCTGTTGCTCTCGAGCAGCGTGCTTCCGCAGAGGATGAGGCTCCTGAATCCGTTGTGGATAAGGGTCCAATGCCAGTGAGGACCGAGAATGCTTCTGATGTGGAAGTGCAGCTCGAGAGTGACCTTAGTAAGCGGGAGTTTTTGGATGAAGGTCCTGGTGGTTCGGTTCCGAGTCGACGTAAGAAACTTCGGACGGTGTTCACAAAGGGGTGTCCATCATGTGAATCTGGAATGTCAGCTCCTGGCATTCGACATTCAGCTCAGTGCAAGAGGAACCAGGTGGTGCGTGTTGCAGTTGAGGCCGAGCAGATCGTTCCCGAGCTAGAGGTTGGAGGTCAGGATGTTTCAGAACCACAGGTTGCTCACTCCACTCCGGTGGACGAGGTGTCGGTTAGACAAGGTGATGCATCAATGGATGAGGTGCCAGTTGGAGGAGAGTTTGCTCGTGTGACTTCAGCCAATCGATCTTCAGAGACGCCCTTGGATCAGTTGGAGAAAGAAATGGAAGAAGAAAGAAGTAGGCCAAGGCTTGCGTCGAGTTTGATTGATGTGTTTGAGCATGCTTTTCTAGCTACTGAGTCTGACGCTCCCGTTCGAGATCTTCCTTTGTTTTCGGTTCAATTTGCTTCGAACGCCGCAAGTGTGATTGTTCCGTTTGGGAAGGATAAAATTCGGATTTGGGAACCTAGCTCAGCTGTTGATGACACGACCCTCAAAGAATTGTCAGGGGAAAGCGCACTTTTGGGTATGAAGAAAGAAGTTCAGAATCTTTCAGATTTAGAAACAGGAGACCTGTACACCCACGAACAGTTGCAGCAAAAGGGTTTGTTAGAGACCTGTCGGGTGATTCCGACACGTTGGGTGACCACAGACAAAGGAGGTGGCGTCACGAGATGTCGCATTGTGATCAAGGATGTGGCGAAGAACAGTGAATCGGCCAGAACGTTGGGGATTAGTTCTCCAACTCCATCTTCGGATGCACTACAGACATTTCTTGGGTTGGCTGGCTATTATGATTTGCTTGTGGGAAGTGCAGATGTCACGGCAGCCTTTATGGCTACGCCGTTGCGTACTCGAAATGTGGTGGCCAAGTTGCCCATGAGCCTGACAGATCAGGATGGTCGGTCGATCTACTTGCATCTTAAGAAGGCATTGAACGGCTTGAGATCAGCTTCACAAGAATGGACAGTTTTTCTCACGGAAATCATTTCTGTTCTTGGATTGTCATCGGATGACATCGAGCCGTGTTTGTTTTCCGGTCGATTGAAATCAGGTGGAATGTGTCTGGTCATGTCGTATGTCGACGATATTCTCGCGGCGGCGGAATCGGAAAGGGATATTGAGCTCGTTTTGTCCTTAATTGGTCAAAAGGTTGTGTTGAAGAAAACTGGGTTGATCCAATCTTCGAAAGGGGGTGGGGGTCAACTTAAGTTCTTGGGACGACAGATTTTCAGGCAACCAGGTGACAAGGCAGTGTTTGTTGGACTTCCCAATGACTACTTGAAAACTACATTCGAGAGCTATGGGTTGAAACCGGGAACAGGAAGTCGTGCCGCTCCCGACATCACTGGAACCTTGGATCAAGGAGGCGCAGAGTTGAGTCCTGAAGCTTATTCCCGCTTCCGAGCGGCGCTAGGAAAATTGCACAGACCCGACAAGACATTCGTGCCTGGGTTGGATTGCTTGCTACCCAACAGAGTAAACCGACGGATGCCACCGAGAAAGCACTGAAGGCAGTCCTACGTTTCTTGCAGAATGATCAGAACATTGTGCTTCGGATGCCGGCGGACATCCCAGCCAGAGATGATGGGAGACCACACCCTATGTTGCAAGGGTTGGAAAGAAAGAATGGGGTGAAACTTGTTTGTTTCTCAGACGCCTCTCATGCGCCACTTCGCTCGACTGGGCGAAGAGGGGTTACGGGTGGTGTTATCACAGCGCTTGGTTTCCTCATCAAAAGCCTGTCACGGCATCAGCAACTGGTAAGTTTGAGCAGCATGGAGGCAGAGTTATATGCCATGCAGGCAGTAGCTCAGGAAATGGTTGCAGTTGGAAGGTTTCTGGGACGTGTCTTGTATACTTTAGGAAAATCCACCGAAAGGGAGGTCTCGGGAATTCTGTTCTCCGACAGCGAGAGCAGTTTGAAATTGTTGAGGAACATGGACATCCCTCGAAAGTCAAGACACTTGGAAATCAAGCTGGAGTGGATTAAGGAGCAAATCAATCGGCAACGCTTGGAGATCAGATTCCTCCGGGGAACTGATAACCCAAGTGACATGTTGACAAAGTGCCTAGGAACCGCCGTGTTTGATCACCACAGGGTTTCCTTAGGTTTCGAAGTGGTTGAAGGGCCGTTAGCTAGC